CCAAATTGAAATGCAGAAGGGGAAAATCATCTTAGAAGTGCCTTGAAGTGATCTAGGCCCGCAACATATCCGTTTTCCGGCTACCCCTAGCCAAAGGTGCCGGGCAGGTGACTTCCACATTGACTTCGGCTGCGACTGCGACTTCGACTTCGACTTTGGCTATTAATAAAAATAATAGTTGCGGCTAAAAAAGTAAAAAAAGGTGAGCCAGTCGAGCGAGGATCTATACAGGCAAAGAGAGAGCGAGAGAGAGAGAGAGAGAAAGACTGACGTGAAGACGTGGAGGCCATCACATGAAAAAAAGATGTCTTAGGTCAGTTGCAGTCGAGGGCTGCTGCTGCCGCTGCTGCTGCTGCTGCTGCAGGTGAACCTAAGCGAGGGCACAATTAAAAGGCCGACGAGGGCTGTGGCAAAAGGCACCTGTGCCGCAGGAGCCGAATAGGAGGTAAGGGCAGGCCAAAATGTTACAGCGGCTCATTTATGTTTATGTCCTTTCGTTGTAAGCAGCGCTGATTCCGATTCCTTTTTTGAGCCGCACAAGTGGTGCGCCAGCACCTGCTGAATCCTGGAACCTGTCGTTGTCATCGTTCGTCCTCAGCATTCAGCTCCTCCTGCTCATCCTGCTCCTCCTCCTCATCGTCGTCGTCGTCGTCCTGGCTCAATAATTGTGAGCCAGACGAGACGCGTGCTCAGAGCCGGTTTACAGCAAACATATGCCAGGCTTGCCGTCGAGGCAAATTACAACAGCAACAGCGACAGCAACAGCAGCAGCGACAGCAGTGGCAGAGCCAGTAACCTGTACCGGTCCAATTGGCATGTGGGCCACACGCCAGCCGAACAGCCGAACAGCAGTCATAAAAATCTCTCGAGTCAACCACAAAGCAGCCAGACTGCAATCTTCGTCTAATCTAGGCCCCGTGCACCTTGAGGGAGTGTGCCGCAAGCTGACGCATGCAAAAAACTGAAACAAAAACAAAAAACCAATGGAAGGTGCACAAACCAACAACAAGAACAAGAGGCACAACAACAAGTGCTGTAAGTGCGCCTGCACCTGTCACGCTCATCGATATTACAAGCAGCCAAAATGACCCAATTTTTAGGGGACCTTTAGGCCGGCAGCCTGAACCTCAGCCTCAGCTAGAGCCAGCGCCTCACTGCTGCTCCTTGCTCCTTGCT